CAGTGGATAGAGCGTCGGCCTGCGGACTGAAAGGTCCCAGGTTCGATTCCGGTCAGGGGCATGTACCTGGGTTGCGGCCACATCCCCAGGAGGAGATGTGTAGGAGGCAGCTGATCGATGTTTCTCTCTCATCGATGTTTCTAACTCTCTATCTCTCTCCCTTTCTCTCTGTGAAAAATCAATAAAATATTTAAAAACAAACAAACAAACAAAAAAAACCCAGCAGCTGATATTGCTGTAGATTGAACTGGTGGTCAGAAATAGATGAAGCTAGAAAGCTAGGCAGAAACTATATTAAGGAGGTCCTAGTATATATGATAAGAAATCAAGATTTTTATCCTTTAAGCTATCAGGAATCACCAGAAGTTGTAAGCAATTAGTTAACAAAAAATCATTTTGGTGGCAAAAAGAGAACATATTAAAACAAAGGGAGACTAGAATAAGAGGGCAAATGTAATAATCTAGCCAAGTTATGACTTTTAAGTATACTCTCAGGCACATGAATATTTAAGAAGTATATAATATATGCCTGGTTCTATCCTAAGTGCTGGAGAAATTAAGTGAAAAAAATAGTTACTGGCCTCATGGAGATCAATCTAGTTAAAAAAATAACATAAAGAATAATTATAGTAAAGTATGATAAATTAAACAATGTATGTGTATACAAGGTAGCAGAGGAAGGAGTGCTCAATTCTGAAGAAGAGGCCCTTGAGATCTTAATGGATTATTTGAGATTTGTCAGGTGTCTTGTGTGGTCTTCAAAAACAGATGACTAGGAATTGAGAGCTCAACAAAGAAGAAGACAATGGTAGTAATGATAGCAACCAAGATTTATATTGTACTTACTACATGCTAGTCATGTCCTAAGTGCTTTATATATATTAACTCAGGTAATGCTCACAATAACCCTAAGAAGTAAGTGGTGTTATCATTCCCATTTTATAAAAAAAGAAACTGAGGCACAGATAAGCTAATTACTTCACCCATGGTTACAAGACTAGTAAGTGGTGGAACTAGGATTTTTATTTAGACAGTTAGGCTCCATATCATCTCTCTTAGGTGGAGAGAAAGATATGAGACTTACCATCACATGATGGTAGCCGATGAAATGAATGTAGATAAGGTCCACCAAGGAAAGTATATATACTGAGAGGAAGTCTGAGAGTGCAAGGCAACTGAACGAAGCAATAATGAATTTCAAATATCCATAGAGAGGTAGAATAAAATAAGGTCCAAAGAGAGTCTTTTGCATTTGACAACTGGGCTACAGACCAATGTTAAACAACTAAAAGGGAGTGGTAGACGCAAAAAAAAAAAAAAAGGGCTTAGAGAAAAAAAAGTGCAAAACATATTAACTACACATAGAAAAACTTGGCCGTGAAGAGAACAAGTAGCAGGTTACAGGGAGCAGCAAGAAGCAGACTGTGGCTCAAAAGATAGTTTTTTTTCTTTTCCTTCTTCTTTCCCCAATTGAAAGAGCCAAGAGAGTGCAAAACATATTAACTACACATAGAAAAACTTGGCTGTGAAGAGAACAAGTAACAGGTTACAGGGAGCAGCAAGAGGCAGAATGTGGCTCAAAAGATAGTTTTTTTTTCTTTTCCTTCTTCTTTCCCCAACTGAAAGAGCCAAGAACATACCTATTATCAGAATAAAGACATCCGAGGAGAAGGAATAGAGACAGAAACTAAAGAGGGGAAAAAGCAAAGGATGGCTGATGTCTAAGTACTGGAGAAGTAGGAAGATAAGGGCAGCCTTAAGTGTGCAGATGAGGGGCTAAAAAGTTGAGTTCATGTTTAGTGGCCTCTGTCTTCTTGGTGAAACAGAAGGTGAGGTCCGCTACTGAGTGATGGACCAAATGAAAACGCTCGTTTTTGGAATAGTCACTAAAGAAACAGGGGAATGAGCAAATCAAGAATAAAAACTTTTTGAGATGTAAAAACCCAGTGGAGACTAGAAGAAAAACCATGCATATATACAAAGCATCAATCCTTTTCATTAAAGAATTTCTCCTGCTGTGTTTAATAACTCAGGTAGGAGAGAAAAGGCAGATTTAATAATGAATACAGGATTTTAAGCTTGCAGAATGGATAGAGCATAATGACAAGGTGGATGAAAGAGAGCATGCTGGTGATAACTTCATATACAGATTCTTGGATTAAATGAGGAGGTGAAGGCAAGAGGAGAAAAAAACAGAGAAGTCAAGGAACAGGAGACATCATTAAGAATGAATAGGTTTATTAGGAATGAGTAGGAGAGGAAGAAAGGTAAGGAAGAAGTTATAGTAAGCTCCAATTGAGATTATGTTTGTTTTGATCATCCCTATTGAGTTACAGTCAATAAATACCTGAGTACTTGGTCAGAGACTAAGATACTTAAGTTTTTGCCTCTTATGATAAAATGAAGGGTCTGATCCTTGATGTGAGCTGCCGAATAAAAAGGGAAAGCAGGATCCCTGAAGACAATGTGGTCAAGGTGCACTGAGGCTTAAGGAATGACTGTATCATCAACGGTGTGGGTTAGCACAGAGGACTCTGAAACATGTGACTAAGTCTATGTGTGAGAAAAAAAAAGTTGACACATGGCAGTGAAAAGGAATTGAGTGGGTAGAGCAAGACTGCTGAGGCCTCGAAGGGGAGATACTGTGCTTGAAGTTGGAAAACGAATGCTTTGGGAAGAGCATGGAAAAGCTGGGAGAAGAGTAATTTCTCCCTTCCAGCCTTGAGACAGAGGATGTGGGAGAATAAGCAGTCCCTCCCAGAGATGTGGTGTCCTTGGGGCAGTGCCAGGTTTCAGTGAAGGCCAGGAGGGGTACGGAACATTATGTGAAGAGGAACAGCGGCTCCAGAAGGCAGAGTGACAAGGGGTGGGAGGAAAGCAGTGGGAGGATGAGCCAGGAGGGAAAGTACAGAGCAATATGGGAATGAGATTGTGAAGATAGGAAGCCAGAAAGGCTCATATTGTGGTCACTGCAAGGATGAGAGGGGTTTAGAGTCATGTAAACAATGAATGGCGGGAAGGTTAGTGTTCTCAGAGTCTGATGTCTGACAGCCTCTTAGGTATTTCAATCAGAGAGGAACAGCGGATTCTTACCCAGCGAGACCAGGTTTCCATAATTCTCCATCATGACATCTTTATACAAGCTTCTCTGAGCCGGATCCAGATAATCCCACTCCTCCTGGGTAAAAAACACAGCCACATCCTCAAATGTCAGCAACCCCTGAAACAGTATGATTCCTGTGGTCAGTCCTTGTTGTCTCAAGGACAGTTCCACCACCGACAGTGGCACTTGTGGGGGCCGGGTAGGCTAGAAGGAACATGGGAACTGAGAGTTCCACACGGGGCCCCGTTCTGGGAACCGACTCCAACAGACAGGGCACCCCACAATAGACGGTAACTGAGCGGGGCCCTTGTCCTTGGGAGGCGGGGGCCTACGGATAAGGCTTTTTGTGGTTGAATAATTATACCCTAACATTGTAATTTTAGCGAGTTTCCCCAAGGAGCCCCCTCAAGCTTCCTTCACCTCATCACCCCGCTCCTATTCTCCATTCGCACTGGCTTGGGATCTTGTTCAGGTCCATTCTACTCAGTTCGCTAAGCGTCTGTCCTGGAGCCAAGCATAGCGACAGGCGTGGAAGGCGCAGAGGAGGGTCCAAAACGATGCCTCACCTGGAACCCTGACCAAGGGAGCCCTGGAAGGGAGCATGTGCTCATCTATCTGGTCGCTCCCGATGAAACGGAGCCAGGGGGCAGCTTCATCGCGAACCGCACCCCCGAGCAGCAGGGAATGAGACTGGGCGGGCCCCGAAGGCCGGGTCGGGGGACCAGGGGGCGGGGGAGCGCGGCCTAGCTGGAGTGGCGCTGAGCAACGGGGAAACCCGGAGGGGCGACTTACCTTTGGGTCCAGCGGGGAGCTCGGGGCGGCCATCTCCTGGCCAGAAATTCGGGCAGGAACCTGGAGCGCGCACGGAAAGGAGTCTCCGAGGAGGCCTATCCGACCGCAGGGGATTAGGCCCGACCAGGGAGAGGCCTCCAGGCTGGATCTGGCCAGGTCCCGGCTCGGTCCCCGAGCGGTCACGACCCCAGCAGCATTTCAGAAGCGCTCCTTGGCCGCCCCCAGACCCTGAACTCCCTCCCCTGCCCGGTTGCACAGCCTTCCAGGCCTCGCTAGAGCCTCCTCCCCGTTGTCAGTTTCTCCTCCTCTCGGCCCAGGAGCGCTTCGACCGCCCGCCCCCGGACCAGAAGGCGTCACCCGGAACCTTCCCGGGACTCCGCCGAACTACAACTCCCGTCATGCTCCGAGAGAGCGTCGCGGTCCAGCCTCCTCAGGACTACACTTCCCAGCAGGCCGCAGGAGACGCTTACTAGGAACAGAGACCATCTGTCACTAAGCTTACACCCGATTGGCTAGTCTTGGAGCTTCACTGCCGGCCGGGGGCGGAGCTCCGTCGCGTAGCTCTCTGCAGAGATGGCAGCGGTCTCAGTGCCCGGAGTTTGGAGAAAAGGCCTCACGTGGATCATCGCAGGGGTCCCACGTCGAGAATTTTGGTCTCGATTCAGGTAAAGCGAAAGGTTAGGTGGTGGGTCAGAGTCATGGAAAGTAAGGGAAGACACAGAGGAAGATGAAGGGGCGAATGCCAAAGGGAGTGCCGTGCTGTTGAGACGGGACCCTGGTCCTGCGCCTGGCTAGTGTGTGAGGGTTCCGAGTTGGGCTTCGTGTGTGGGGGGGGGGGGGGGGGGGGGGGGGGGGACATCCACGTGTGGTGTTTGTCAGCTTCACTCACGCACTGAGCCAGAGATTCACGTACTAGGTTTTGATCATTGCAGAGAACAGAAAAAGCCAGTGGTGGCTGAGGCGGTAGAGGAGGTGAAGACAGAACCCGTCCTGGCGTGCCCACCCTTACGCAGCCGAACGTACGTACCTCCTGAAGATCTCCAGAGCCGTTTGCAATCGAGCGTCCAAGACATTTTTGGCTCATCTGCTCCTAGCAATTGGCAGGACATCTCCCTGGAAGACGGGCGCCTGAAGTTCAGTTTCTTGGCACGTTTAGCTGACGACTTGGGCCACGCAGTGCCTAACTCCAGGCTCCATGAGATGTGCAGGGTCAGGGATGTTCTCGAGTTCTATAACGTGCCTGTTCAGGATGGATCTAAATTTGATGACCTTGTGGCCAGCAATCTGCCTCCCAATATAAAAATCACGTGGGGCTACTGAGCAATTCAGAAGAGGAATTGAAATTATTGTAATCATCTCCTCGCCCCCCTCCCCCCAAGGAGGCCACCTACCAGACCTTTTGATACTTTGAAATACTATCAGAACTGTTCTCCAAAACCACTTGTTCTGTGGAAGAACGCATTTTTTTCTCTCATAACATCATGAATTGACAATTAACAAGATGTCAAGATGTTCTTTTTTTTTTCACATTTGCTGAAACTTTAAAAAAAATAGAATCAGGTTATGAATAATTTATGAAAACTTTCTTCTCCAGACACTAACTTGGGTTTAAAATATAAGGCTATGGCGTGTTCAGAGTGGCTGTATTCTTCTTAGGCAAGAAAATGTTTTCATATTGTCACTGCTCTTAAATCTAGGGTAGTATTATATGCAGTATATACACAGTTGAGGAAAGAGATTAGACATGTATGATAGAAATATAAAAGTCTGTGGAGGATGTTATGGAAAGATGTTTCACTGTTTGGTTTCCTGCACAACTGCAAATAGTACAGAATGATTCTGTTCATTCTGAAGTAATCTCTATTGAAATTAAAGTAGATTTCTTGAATTGTGTTTTTAATTTTTTTAAAGGTGAAATTTGTTTTTCTGCCTTGTCATTTCCTTAGTGTAAGTATTATAAATGAAAAAAAAAAAAAGAATATGTGCCAATTATTAAGTGCTGGGACTTTTTCTGTAACAAATATACCAGATTCTATAAATGGGTGTTCTCTTTAAAAGAGATAGTGTTTATTTCAAACCCTTTTTTTTTTCCTATAACTTTTCAAAAGTGCCCTTGAGTACCTATGAATATCCAGTAGGGTAGTGAGTATTTGTACACTTAGGGTACTTAATTTGTAGAAACTTCTCAAATGGTTCTGAATGACAAAATGGTTAAATGAGGATGTGATTACTCAGGAATTATTTTTTGTTCAGACTTTAGATATGGCTAGAGAATAACATATCTAAGTGGGATATGTTCCAAGACCCCCAGAGGATGCCTGAAACCATGGACAATACCATAACATATACTGTTTTTTTCCTATGCTGATATACATAGCCCTTTATTATTTATTCTTTTATTCCTCTTTTCCTATTGTGGCTGATTTCCCAAAGACAGCTGAACAAATAGACGTGCATATACAAATGTATTTCATCCCATAAGCTTTTTTTAACATTTTTTTTTATTTTTTAATCCACCCAAGGATATTTTTCCATTGATTTTTATAGAGAGTGGAAGGCAGAGGAAGAGATTGAGAGAAACACTAATGTGGGAGAGACATATCAATTCGTTGTCCCCCCCCCCCCCCCCCCCCCCCAATCAGGACTGGGAGCCTGCAAACGAGATAGATGCTCTTCACTGGAATCAAACCAGGATCCTTCACTTCAAAGGCCAATGCTCTATCCACTGAGCCAAACTGGCTAGGGTCCACATGCTTTTTTGAAAACAATGTAACTAATATTTCTCCCAATATGAGTAAGGGTCTATGGATGTTTGTATCCGCTTGTGACCATCATCCACATTCACGTGGCACCACCAGCCTGTCCACTTGACCACCTCCAGCTGTTGACCTGGCCAGAGCCCTGCCTTACCTGACCACTTCCAGGATTCCCTGAGCCCAGCCCACCCCTGCTGTCACTTCATCACTTCCAGCTGTAGACCTGGCCCCGCCCCTCGATGACGTCACCACTTCCAGCTGGAACCTGGGCCCCACCCCTTTGCTGACCTGACCACTTCCTGGCCTTCACCTGGGCCCAGCCCACCCCTGCTGTCACCTCATCACTTCTGGCAGTGGACGTGCCCTGCCCCCTCGACGATGTCACCACTTCCAGCTGGTCCCTGACCCCCTCCGGGCCTTCACCTGGGCCCAGCTCACCCCTTCGGTCACATCATCACTTCCGGCTGTCCCCCTGGCCCCTCCCCCTGGATGACGTCACCACTTCCAGCCAGCTGGTCATCGGTTCCCAACCCCTTGCCTACCTGACCACTTCCGGGTGATCCCAAGGCCCTGGTTCACCTCCTAACCACTTCAGGCTGGTCCCACAGGCACTCCCCTACCTTTCCATATACCGTGCCTACTGGGTCACCTGACCAGTGAGCCACACGGGCCGGGCTACCTGGCTCCTCACGCACCAGGGTGGGACTTCCCCATCGCTGGAAGTTGGGTTAAAGGCCTAACACCCACAGCCCACGAACACCTGCTGCTCACAGGATGCCCTCCACCCCGTGGGGAGGGTGGCAAGCCGGGGGCGGCCAGCCCTCCTTTAAGGCAGTCATGGGGGTCCATGAGCCTCAGGCCTCCCCATCCTCCCCACCATAGGCACATCTCACACTGGAGTGGCCTGCGACCCGGACAGCCCTGTCTGTGGGCTATGTGTTCTCTCTATTTGAACTTTTTTTTAAAAAAAATATATTTTATTGATTTTTCACAGAAAGGAAGGGAGAGAGATAGAGAGTCAGAAACATCGATGAGAGAGAAACATCGATCAGCCGCCTCCTGCACATCCCCCACCGGGGATGTGCCCGTAACCCAGGCACATGCCCTTGACCGGAATCGAACCCGGGACCCTCCAGTCCGCAGGCCGACGCTCTATCCACTGAGCCAAACCAGCTTTGGCTCTACTTGAACTTTGATGGGGACTTGTAACTGCTACAAGCAATATAATGTGCCAGAGATTTATGCAATATGACCTCCAAATCTATGATAAAAAAGGATATAGTCTCCACTTGGTTTTTTCTCAGAAGGTTTGCCCTTGGAACACAGATCAAGCTGTGAGGAAGCCCAAACTAGTCCATGCCATAAGTCCACTTTGAGACCCCAATATAGGAGAAATGACGCCCCCAGGTGTGAGCCAGCATCAACTCCCAGACATGAAAAAATAAGCCTTCTGCTGATTTTATCCCCCTGCCTTTGATCTTCCAGTTCAGATACCAGACATCATGGTATAGGGACAAGCAGATCCCACTGAGTCCAGTCCTAATTCCTGACCCACAGAATATATGAGCAAAATAAATTACTGTTGCACATCTCTACGTTTGGGGTGGTTTGTTACACAGCCAAAATACTCAGATCACCTGTCTCCTTTTGGGTTAATTAAATATTTGTGTGTGTTTGTGTGTTTATTCTAGAAATTAAAATATGTATCTGAGGAATCTACACTTTTTCTTGTCTGGCCAGAGATAGAGACACTCCGATGTGAGAGCACAACATTGAACTGGCAACCTTTTGGTGCACAGGATGTCGCCAA